AGTATTAGAACTAAAAACCTCTTATATGTGACAACTAGTGCGTATGTCTCATGCTTAAGTACTGAAACATCCACTAACTTGTTGTTACTCTTTGAACCAAAAACTACTCATTTCATAGTGTCGGGTAGGGTTGCTATTTTGGTGGACCTAATTAAGGTATTTAGCTTAATCAAAGATTCAAACTCGAAGTTGTTTTCGCCAAGTTCCTAATAAGAGGTTTTTTAATTATTAGTCAAACTACTTTTTTAATTTGCAACTGCGAGAAAAATGATTGCATCTTAAATTGACTCTCTCGCATAATGAGAAACTTTCCAAAATAAGTTGATTTTAGAAGCTCGGCAAAACATGCTACTAGCTTGACTTCACATTATATACACTTTATATGCTCGAGCTAGAGTGGCTTGATTATCACAAAATTGAGCTCACGCTTTGTGAAATCAATGGAATTCCTAAAATAAAATGTAGACCTAATTAAGGAATTTTGACTCAACCAAACTCAAAGTTGTTTTCACCAACTTCCTTATAAGAGGTTTTCTAATTATTAGTCAAACTACTTCGCAACTGTGAGCAAAATGATTGCATCTTTAATTAACTCTCTCTCACACACATAATCATGTCAAAGACTTAGTTTGACTTCACATTATATACATTTTATATGCTCGAGCTAGAATGGCTTGATTATCACAAAATTGAGCTCACACTTTGAGTGATCAATGGAATTATTAAAAGAAAATCCCTCCTTTGCTTGCTTCAGTACTAATGAAGCAAATTATGACTTCAGCATTGGATGTGTTTTTATTTCTACTCTCGAGATAAACATCCAACATGTGGTGAATTTATAATTTTACAAACTATCCAACTTGTGCGGTATAATTTTCTAAAATAGCATGAAATTTAGGGTATTAAAGACTCAAATCTTTAGTTTTCTTCTTCATAAAGTTTTAACAATATTAAATTTTTTTTTTTAAAAAGGTGTCTTGTAAATGAAATGGTGTATACTTCCATTCTTTGCCCATATACTACTACAAGTAGTTTTGTATTTGGATTTCAACTTCTTGAAAATCCTGGCATTACTTTGGTAGAAGAAAGTTTTCTTCTTTTCCAACCATTCTCCAAAAACTTTTCATATTTGCCTATATAATACTACAAGTAGTCAAAAGCTTTTCATATTTTCTACACAAAATCTTTTCAAGTAATCACAAACTTTTCTTCTCCAATCTTGCCTATATTTTTGTAATTGGACTAAATGTGATTCGGCTGTAAAAAATTTAACCATAAATTTAGAACAAGTAGCAAAAATTACCTTCCAACAACTTTAGCCAAAGTTTGTATGTAACAATCAATCATCTGCTGTTTAGTAGCACCTTCACCTCCGGGTTTATCCATAACTATAAGCCAGTGATCATAATCACACCCGGGAAAAAGCGGAGCCAATTCAGTAGGCGGGCGGTCGCCGGAGTAATTCGACCCGGAGTTCAACGGCGAGTATGCAGACCGGTTAGCTTTGCATGTTATAGTATTGACCCGACATGACTTTGGAGCCCCGACCTGGATGGAGGTCGGACGGCCGACGAGATTTGATGGTCGTAGTTTCGGTGTTGTGAAGAAAAGTTCGCCGCCGGCAAGAGATACGGAGGTCGACGGAAAGGGAACGGTTGTCGTGCCGGCCATTGTTGGTGGGAGACAGAGGATAAGGGAAGGGTTTATAGGGTTTTAAGATATAATAATAATAATAATAATAATAATAATAATAATAATAATAATAATAATAATGAGCTTTTATCTCATTATTCAACATTTTTTTTAAAATTGGAAATTACTTCAATTGGTTTATATAAGCAAAGAATGCTATGTTTTGTTTGATTGCTATAAAAAATAAATTGAGAAAAATATTTTCTCAATTTATTGCTTTGTATCAAATATATCCAAAATGTTGCTTTGTACTGTACATATTATATCTTCTATTGCCCTTTATATTATTAATCTTTCTTAAACTTTTATGGCGTCAAATTCTACTATCTTATATATCTATCTATCTATCTATATATTAAAAGGAGAGGACAAAACCCTCTCCTTAAGTCAAGTGGTAGGTTAAAGAAAAGCCAAGTGAAATATTAGTTATTACTAATTAGTTATTTAGTTAATAATTAGTTATTATTTTTGAATTAAAATATCTATAAAAAGTGGAAAAAATAAAAAATAAAAAACTACCATCTATATTTTTATAGTCTAAAGTTGGAATTTTAAAATTATTTTAAAATAAAAAACCAAAAAGCATAGCAATAATTGAAAAAAAAAACAAAAAAAGAAGAAGAAAACATTACCCATTCAAATCGGGGAGTAATTTTAAGTTGAATTTTTGAAATAATTGTAAAATAAAAAACAAAATTAAAAAATAGAAAATTACCATTTCAAATTGGAGAATAGTTTTGAGTTGGAGTTTTAAAAAATTTTAAAATAAAAAAACGAAAATAAAGAAAAAAAATCACATGGCACAATTAGTTAATAACAAAACACTATTTATTAAAAATTAAAAAAA